CAATCTCTTCAGGTGATTTTGATATAGGCTGAAATTTAAGAACTACTGATCTAGAGTGACAGTGGTGTAGGTCATGAGATGTGGGTAGATACAGGATATATTTTGGATATGAGGGTTGAAGAAAACTAGAATTTGGAATAAGCTCTGTCTTCTGTCTGAGCAATTTGTATATTGGTGGTGCCCTTTATTACAATGGGAAGGACTAAGATGGGGGAAGACATGTGTTTTGAGAGGGGAAGCTTCTGCTTCATATGTGTGAAGTCACAGTTCAGAAAGAAGCCTTTCATCTCTGGGCCACATTTCAGAACAGGGAAGCAGTTCTACCAGCCAGAGGGAGTGATTCACAGGGTGGCCTAAGCTCTGCAGTTTTGGGCACTCAAAATTTTCAGAGTCAGTGTCCTTTTTAGGAGGCTCTGGATTTAGAGAAGGCACTTTTTTTCTAGTGAAGATGCTGAAAACCAGCTTAAGACATGACCCAAGAAAAACCATGAAGGAAAAGCTGAAAGTGGTGCCCCATGTAACTAGCTGCTCAGGTGGAATGGTTTATAAAGGTATAAGCTGAGAAGCTTTAGCTTGGCAATGAAAGTCTAAACCTTATTATAGGAGTTCCTCTCTTAGAAGACCAAGACTTACCAATGACAATGCTCTAGCTGCAGTTGTCATGCCCCAGATAGGACTATCACAGAAAGTTTAACAGTTCATAGCAGTTCTGCTCTGACACATAACTCACAGCTCCTGGAGAAGGAATCACTTTTATGTTTGGTCCCAGACTCCTGGCCTGGTGCTCCATGCCTAAGCATTTGGGTTTTGTTTAGAGAGCTCTGGTTGCAGCACATACACGAAGTAGGAAGCCCTTCTCCCTGTGCTGTCTGGTGATGCTCTCAGTGACATTCAACAGTAAACAGATGAAGAGGGGAACAGCGGGTATGTGGCTATCCCTTACTGGAGTAGTTCTGCGAGCAGGTAGAAGCCAGAGAAGAAAGGACAAGCTTTAAGTTCAAAAGCAAGTATTCTTAACTTTGACTATGGAGTCTCTGAAGCAGCTAAGAGGACACCAAGCTTTCATCAGATTCTCAAACCTAAGATTCCAAAAGAGATTAAAAAAAAAATTGAAAAAAAAAAAAACCTTTGCTTTAGAAAGCAGTGGTCCTTCGTGTGTGTACTGTCACTGAGAGTGTGCATCACCTGCACCAGACAGCACAGGGATAAGGGCTTCCTGCTCCCTGTATGTGCTGCAACCATATCCCTCTAAAACCCAAATGCTCAGTATGCATCAGAATCACCTGTAGGGCTTGTTACAACAGGGATTGCTGGGCCCCAGACCCAGTGGTTCTGGTTCAGTAGGTTTGGAGTGGGGCCAAAGAATTAGTATTTCTAAATTCTTTCAAGGATATGCTAATGCTCTTGGTCTAGGGGCCACACTTTTAGAGAACCAATACTCTAGAGGATACAAAAGTCATGAAGGGTTCAAGTTCAAGTTATGATTTTTCCTTTTCAGACAAGAGTTCTAACAGATGCCATAGCCCTCTAAACCACCCCGAGTCTTAAGGAATTTGAGAAGTCCGTGGAGAGGGACCTTTCCTTAGAGTCAAGAAACATCTGGGAAATAGCATTTAAGAGAGTGCAGGAAAATGATTCCAGAAAGCCTAAGCAGAACTCTGGGCTAGGAACCCTTGTTACTGAACTTGTATCTGAAGCCACATGGGCTCAGATAGGAGGTCTACTTTAAGGAAGAAAGGATGTCTGCTAGAGGTAGAATAGGGGAATGGGGTAAGGGAAAATGACAACTCAACAAGGCAAAATTCAAGATCCTCATTCATAGAACCCTTTGATCAGGTCATTGTGGTAAGGGTGGGAGGAGGCAGGAATAATACTCAGGGCTGTACTTTATTTAAGAAAGAGCAGTGGAGAGAGGCCTGGCAGGGCCATTTGCCAACTTCCTTCAGAGCTGCTCTGAGTAAATCATTCCCTCTTGAAAGGGGAGGAAGAAATGAAAACGTGGATTCATTCATGAATCAACCTCCGGAACAGGAAGTGTGGCTTTTGAGCTATGCAGAGGAATCCTCATTTGCTACAAGGAACATTGGCTTTGCCATCCAGCTGAACACATCCTGAGATGAGGCAAAACCAAAGTCAGGGAAATCCTACAAATTAAGGGATGAGGAGGCAGAACTTCATAGAGAGGCAATATATTAGAGTGACTAAGACCATGTGCTTTCACATCAGCCTATCTGGTATGGAATCCTGGGTATGTTACTTTCTGTGCCTCAGCATCCTCATCTGTAAAATGGGGCTAATGGTAGTGTCTATCCTGAGTTGTAATAAAATGAAGTATAATGACCTAGGTAAAACATTTAGCTTAATGCCTTGAATATTTTAAGCACTCAATGTTTAAAAAATAAAAAAGATGGTGAGCTTGGAAAAATTAGGATGATGGCAGTACAGACTCACTCTAAGTACCACTGCCAGAGAAAGAAAGCTAGGTTGGAGCTGCTGCCAGTCTCCACAGGGGGCCAACAAAGGTCAAATGTGTATGCTGAGTATGCCAGGAGAGCCAGGATGCCTAAGATGGTGGAGTTAACTGGATAATCCTGCTGGCTGTAACAGGGATGAGTCGGTTTCTTGACATTTTCTCACTGCTAACCTAAGTGCCAAATGGTCTGGGTGGAATCAAAGTGAATGAAAATCAGTGTTGGTGGGAAAATTAGATTGATGCTATAGAAACACTCTGGAGATTTGTAATATTAAGGTGGAATCCCTATTTTCAGAGGGGAAAAAAGTGGTTCCTCCTCCCAAAGTTCTGGAAGTGTGGGGAAAGGTAGTGAAATAAGAACAGTGGAGTTGTGTGCTGGCCCTGACATGAGCTAGCAGTCAAACAGTGGAAAAGAACTCTCTTTCCTCTGGTCCTGAAAGAGCAGAACCTCTTTAAAAACCCAGTACCCAAGATCAAAAAGCCCTATTTGCTTAGAAAGAAATTGTCACTAAAACTAGGAACAAAGATATTTCTAAAAACCATGCAAAAGAACCAAAACAAACCATATACAACATGGTTAAATAAATAAGTTCATATCCAGTGGAGAGATGGAGGTAGAAGAGATTGCCAATTACATTACCTTAGAAAAAAAGCACTAAAGTAAAATGATAAATAGTTCTGCTTGAGAATCTTCGGCCTCTTTCTTTGAGCAGCTCCCTGTACAATTCTGCCTTATAGTTCAGACCTATCGCAAGTCTAGTAGGCTTCTCCTGTAGCCCCCAGTAGGACCTCACCTTAGGGTGTCTTGCTCTCCAAACTGACCACTGAGCATATTTAATCATGATCCCATTTGGAACCTTTAAAAGATGAAGGCCACAGGACAATTAAGAAGGGGCCTGGATTTTGGCTGTTCATTCCCTTGTACTTGTTAGGAGCAAATCATGGCTGGAGTTTCAAGGACAAGGTCCTGTATTTGAGAGTCCTTTCAGACAGGGACCCATGGATTACCTGATCTCACACTAAAGAGACAGGAATATCTGGTCTCTTCTACTGGAAGTATCTACCTGTCTTCCGTATGGCCCTCCACATCCCCACAAATTCAGAGGTATTGCAGAACTTAAGGAAAACTGGAGTTTCACAGGCACCTCACCAACCTTTCTAAAACAGTGACACCTTTAGCTTTATGTTTTCATAAAGCAAATCTCTGCATTATTTATATTGGAGTTGGTGGCTGTCAGATGTGGAAGCTTGTCCAATGCTGTTTTTAAGGAGGAACATTTTAGCAAGAGAACAGCAAAACAATAATCACAATAAACTCTCTTGGGATTTACTCAGGGAACTCTAATACCATGAACTGGAGATATTCTATGGCATCCAGTTTTAGAATATAACCATTGTCACATATATTTAAATGATTGTCATATGTTTTCCATAGTGTGATTTTTGTCAGAAAACTTGGAGAACTACTTTTTTCAAGCATTCCTCATATCCATCCTAAAGGTAAATGAAAAAATCAAAAAAAGTAAAAGGAGGAAACCATAAATAAAACCTCAAACTCCAAAAGATGAGGAAAATAAACACCTGAGGTCTCTGCTGGTTTTTGAGGTAGATGTCAAAACTGGGGTAGTTCTCCTTAGTCAGATAACCTACTTTTCTAGGAGCTGGCCCTGTTGAAACTATCCTGAAGGACTGCTCCTGTGCCATGTTTTTATTGGTAACTTCATTCACTGCCTGCCATTTCACTCAATAGAAAAGCAGTTTTGAAAGGGATCTTATTTTAAAGTACAACCTCTATTTTCTGTAGAAGATTCTCTTCATCTTTTGTTATGGGATCTTTTGTAACCGTTCCACTACCCCAAACCAATTTCAAATTTAAAATGACCAAAAAGAAAATTCCTTCCATGAGAAAGGAACGTGATCCATGGGGAAAGTTTTTCTTTTCTTCAAAATGATGACTAAGTTAACCATCACACCATTAGAAAATTTTTGGCCAGGTGCGGTGGCTTACGCCTGTAATCCCAGCACTTTGGGAGGCTGAGATGGGTTGATTGCCTGAGCTCACAGGTTCAAGACCAGCCTGAGCCAGAGCGAGACCTCCATCTCTAAAAATAGCAGGCACCTGTAGTCCCAGCTACTTGGGAGGCTGAGAATCACTTGAGTCCAAGAGTTAGAGGTTGCTGTGGACTATGATGCCATGGCACTCTACTGAGGGCAACAAAGTGAGGTTCTGTCTCAAAAAGAAAAAATTTTTTTTAAAGCATACCAAAACCCTGAACCCCATAAATGCATCAATGTGCAGAGTTATGATTTAATAAAAAATAATTTTTTAAAAAACCTACCAAAATAAAACTTTTAAAATAAAATAGAAATAGGAGTAATGCTTGCAGCCCAATTAGTGATCCTAATAGGCAAGTATACCTGTTGAGAGTCCTGAAAATGATTTCCATCTATCCAAAATATAAAATAAATAAATCCAAGAGCAACCAGACCCCTTCCCCCCAAAAGCACTGAAACAAAAGACTGATCTGTTTATACAGTCACATGAAAAATAAACATCTTTATTTTTTTTGCCTACTTTATTTCATTTTTTCAAATAAAATTTAAATCTGTACAAAGTATACTGTTACAGTATATATTTTGTAAGAATCAATGCCTAAAAGAATCACAATACTTCAATAAGCAGTACAGCAGACCTCGCTAGTTTCAGCTTTGATATTGAACAAACTCAAGCCGGCTGATGCACAACACGTTTGCTTGGTTTCCACATGGTGAGTTCCCAGCACTGAGATGGGAGAACATGACAGCAAATATGGTTATATTACAGCCCGACACACTGCGCTTCTTCATGTGATAATAACTGCACATATTTAATACAGAATGCTCAAATTTACTTTTTAAATTGCATTTACTTCTTAGTTGGCAAAATTCAGCATTCTTAAATGGGTCCCCAAACAGTGCAAATTAATGATATTCTACTGTATATTGGCACGTTTCCAATAAGGATTAACTTGTAAACTCAAAGAATACCAACAACTTAGTCCTAAATTTTAACTAATAAACATCTGGTCCATTTAACCAAAGTCATTTTGGAAAGATATTAAAGAACAATTCTATTTCTGAAATGATATTGTTTTGACCATTTTTTAGAGAAGATAAATTCTTAAATTGTCATTAAAATGTTTACTATAAAAATTTTACAAACTTGATTAGAAATTTCAAGATCATGATTCACAGCAGACAAATACAAACTTTATATTCCAACAATACCTTCTCTTAGACTTTCAAAGAGCGCACAACCATGTCAGCTGTGTTAACTAAAATTCTGAACAGTGTACTAAATTTGTAAGTGGTGCTGGGTCTAGCAAGTGTAAATACACAGTATATTTCAATGAAAAGAATTGTCTTCTTTATACTTTATTTGTTTTCCCATAAGGAAACATTAATGTTTACATTCTTTAATAAAGTTAATCTTACATCAGAATATAACTTAATACTGTCAGCAACAGGGACCACACACAGTAAATAAGAAGCACATTTAAAATAAGTTTGAATTCACATAGATTAACATTTGTTGGTTAATAAAATATTGACAGTATTACAATCTTACAATATTTACAGTAAGAAAAATCTAGAGTAATATATACCTTTCACAGCAGGATTCCATTTTTTTTTTTTTAATTTCTTCCAGTTTGGGATTGTGTATACACAAAAGCTCAAAATAAAGCAACTCTGCAATATAATCTTAAAATAATGGCTACTAGGGGGAAATTCTATCACAACCATTGAAAATAATGGTGACTTCTCACGGAGTCTGTGGCATCTGAGAACCCAGTTAATTAACCAAAGTCTTGCTCAAACCAGCCTCAGTTACCCAGATTAAAGCAGAACTCCGGCCTTCCCTGACTGCTGAAAACCCAACAGATTTTTTCAACATGCTATAAGAAAAGAGGGAAAATTGGTTTCAGCTCACATCTCATGGCTAGAAGCCTCTGGCCAGTGCACATTCCCCAACTTATGCTAAAAGAGGGCCAATTTCATCCCCACTGCATCACAAGAGTCCACTATCTAATCACAGGGCACTCTGACACCAAGCTCACCCATTCCTCAACTCTTGTGCATTAGGATAAGGCATGAACTTGACCCATATAATACACACCAGCATCTTAGAGACTTGGAACCAGGGCAAAGAAACAGACTAGTGTAGTTTGCACTGAGATTAACAGGAAAAATGGGAAGTGATGCACATTTCCAATTAGAATGAGAAGACCCACATCCCTAAACTGGAATTTGGCCAGGGCATCAGAGTTAGCACCCCCTCTCTGAGTACCACAAGGGATTAGGATGTGTGCTCTGGGCCTCCTCTAAGAGCATCTACAGTAAGTAACAGTGTGGGACACTAGTTCAGTGATGACTCTCAAGAAAGCAGACACAATTCTTGAATCTGGGGCTGTCTATAGCATCTAAGGTCAATCATCCAAGCTGCGACCAGTCCCAACCCTGATTACTTTAAGATATCTGATGGGCACAGAGCACTCAGGGATACGGCTGCTGGCTACTTTGGACTCTAGATCTCACAGGTGATCAACAGGTATCTGGGATTGAATTAGCAAACTGTACCATAGCTCCTTAAACAGACACTGTCAGGTATGAAATCATGTCAAGCATGAATCTTCACTGTCAGGTCAGAAATTGAAGTGGGAGTCTTCCCACATCAGCCAAGGTTATTTTGTCAAAACCTTTGAGGAGTTGGACAGTTTTTCACGTTGTGTGTGATTAGTTTGCTTATTTCAGTCAAGCTGGATTGGCAAACAAGACTGAACTATTTAGTTAGCTTGGTGTTTTTGATTCTTACATGTGTGCTAACCCAAAGCTGTTACATTTGGGCTAAATACACTGACAGAGAAAATTCAAGCAACAAAAGTTTTCAGCAAACTTTTGTGGCATTTTCTTTTTGGAAGTCAATGCAAGATCTAAAGGTATTTCTACCCAACAAAGTCTGTTTAAGTGTTTAAGGTAACTTCCTTTTTGGTCCTATACAGAATGCTATGACTTCTATATAGGTCTGAATGCTGCTCCATGTAGATTCCTTCTGTATATCTAAAAATATATACTTTTCAGTAGTTCAATACAAGGTTAATCTTCCCACAGAGGAAGATTTTTGTAATCACATGTTGCAAAGTAGAAAAACATCTCCTTTCTAAGAAAGGAAATATACTTTCCTATTGTACACTTTTGAATAAGCCCAAAGGCATGCACCAAAAATTATTAAAACTAATACATGCAATAAAACGGTGTAGAGTTAGACTTAAAGTGCTGCTTTTCAATTTTTAAATTTGAAGAAGACATTTTGTCAGTTATTGACTCAATGATCTTCCTCGACTCACCCACCCCACCCCATGGCATTAAGAGAGAAAAGTAAAAAGTGTGCATAAATCTTTAAACTATTCTTTACACAAGGGAAAGAACAGATATATCAACTATCCTATTTATAAACTGAATTCCCAGTTTTAAATAAAACTAATATTTACTGGTAAAAATTGTCAAAGCTAATATACCCAAACAAATATTACGAGTAAATAAAGTTCTACATAGAGAATAATTTACTTTGGTTTTATGCACCTTCTTAAAAATAACACTAGTGTCCCATCTGTCACCAAACTGATGTGTTCCAGCAAAGTTGTAAGGCAAATCTATTTTTTCCCTAGTGACATCTTGTTCCCAATAGACAAAACTAAAATCTTTTGGTGAGGAAGGGGTTAAGATAATGGTTAACCCCTTGGCATCCTGAGCAATATGATTTATCAAACTCTACCCTGCTAGAATTTGTCAGGCACCCTGACCCCTGCCTTGAACCAGTAATGGCTCCCACATATAGAGATGCCCTGACTCCATAAAAACAGCTCTCAGAACTTTGCTTTTTCTTCCTTCTTTCTGTTATTATGTTATTATATCTAACAGAACTGGTTGCAATGTCACATTTTGTTAGTAGGGGCCACCATCTAATAATAATTCCAATCTGAAATATTTGAAGCCAATAGTTATTTCCTAATTTTACCAATAATTTTCACTGAAATTTTCTCTACAGAGTTTGCTTAGAGCAGAGATCCTTAACTTGGGTTTCAGAACATGTGTGATGCCCCTGAGGTTGTATGCAAAATTATCTGTGTGCATTTTTTTTTTTCTGGGAGAGGGTCCATCACTCTCATCTGATTATCAAAGATAAATGAATCTGTGATCCTAAAAAGGGTTATAGGGACTTAAGAGGGATACCCGTAATTCATTTTATACCAGGACTGGGAAATGGGGGCAGAAAACTAAAAATGGCCTTAAAAGAGGAGGGGCAAATTGCTGATCTTTTCCCTTTATTCACATTTGGGAAATAAATGCTTCAAAGTAGAAAAAATAATTAAGCTGGTTAAACTCCATTAAAAAATAAAGACACTTTCTAGAGTTTTTCATTTTCCATATATGGTAAATTTAATCTCCAAGAAAAGGTTTGAAGACTAAATTTTTCTCTTTTCCTAAAGGAAATTCATAGATACAATGCTGAACAACATCCACATTTAAAGATTTGACAACATAAAGCTTAGGTAACTCTTAATGATGTGAGCCTTTAACTTGTGATTTTGAGTAAAGGATTATCTGGAGTCAAATACACATTTATGAACTTTCATTTCCCAAAATTAGCAAATATTTAGACAACTATCTAGCATAATTCCACTAAATAAACCTAAAATCAGGTTTTAGGAGTTAAATTTTCTTCCCAAAGTAAAAACAAAGCCATAAGGCTCCACAATAATTTCGGCCACAAACATTCACACTATGTCATAGAGGACTTTCTCATTACATCGCTGAGTTTTCAACAGAATTTGCAAACGTAAGATCCAGAATGACTAGCAAAACATGCTGAGAAGAGCATGTCAAGAATTAAAACACCACTTTCCTATCCAGAAACACACTCAGGCATTCCAAAAATAAACCAGATCTGAAAAGAGGCCTCTCACTTGGTTTTAAGTATGTAGTGCATAAAAATCTATGAGAAAGGGAATATAAAATAATTAAATAACTTACAAAAAATTAATTTTAGCCCAAAACACATCTCTGTTCCATTGGTTAAACTGTCAATTTTTTTTTTTTTTTGCAATTCTGAATACTGTGTTGCATAATCTAAGACAAAAAATACCATCACAGGTACACTTTTTATTCTTTTCTTGTTAGAGTACATCTTTGAGGTCGTAAGACTGCATCTGGTTAAAATAAAGTCTCTTACCCATTGATGCTCTTCTTCCTCAAAAAGTGATTCAAAACTGAATTCCAAAATGTAATATTCATTTAATGTAATTATATCAATATCAGTTGTATCACATAGACCATAAGGGAACTATATGAACATTAAGGAAAACTACATGAAAGAGGGAGCTGCCATTTGCTACCCACTTCACTTCCAGCTGTTTAAGCCAGTACCCAGCTAGACTCAGATCTCACTGACTTCTGTGAAAACAGACCAACAATCCAAAAACAGGCCATCTCAAGCCAGAAGTTGGATCTAAAGACATCATTTCACGTACACACACACATATATTTCCTAAACTTTAACTCTATTTAAATAGTTAATAAAACTTACATTTACAAAGGATTTTATTGGCAAATAAATGCCTATATTAAAAAGTTTATCAAAACAAATTTTTCTTTTACATAGCTAACACTAAAAATATTTTCTTGGCCTTATAAAGCACATTTAGTTGCATATAAGTTTTGCTTTGGGTGGGATATTGAAAACATAATTCTGTAAGAAATCAGAAAAGACTAGAAACAAAAGTGAAAGTGACTAGTCTTAACTTTCAAAAAATCAAGTGCAAAGGTAAGTAGTGCAAATAATGAAAACTAGAAATTTCACAGGCAATTTTATATTGTCTTTCCTGCTTTTGCACTTGTACATATTGACAACTTTATAAACCCTAACAACTGTATGCAGCATGGAAATGGGCTAACATTTATCTCCACTGACTAGACTTAAGGAAGTCTTTCAAAAACTTGTCTCAGTCATTTAAATAACTGGTTCTTGATGAAGGTTTACAAATTCACTTCTTTATAAGTGATTTGTAAGGGAGGGGCTATTTAAGAAGACTCTTTACTGACTTAAACAAGTTATAGTATGTAACTGTATTATAATTTAAAATCTGATGCACAATAAAGTATGGAAATTATACTAAGTGCCAACTCTACAAAACAAGCTATAATAAAAATAATCCTGCTATTATTAATAAACTTGATATTTATAGAAAAGAAAAATTACCTTCCAAGTACAAAACCTGCAGCCCTTTTTGGGGGGCTATTTTTAAAGAGATTTTTATCACTAATTTATACAGATATGAGTAAAAGGAAACCTGAAAGTAATCTGTCAAAATCACTGGGAATAATTCCATACCAAATTTGACAACAAAGAGTTAATCCAAATTGACTTAAATTTTGTAACTTCAAAAACAAATATTATACTAATTATTTATTATAAGTAATTTAAAATGCTACCAGGATAATGGGAACAGAAATCTAAACACTATCAGCTCACCCTACAAATGACATTAAGAAGCTCTCAGATGTATACTAAGTTATATTATTAAATCTTCTACCATGGAACTCTTGGGAATACTATAATTTTAAAGTAAAAAGTGAGAAAACAGAAACATAAGTTGAGGGGCATGTATTCTAATTTTAGAAATATAATATTATTGAGGGCTTCATAAAGTTCACAAGATTTAATGGTTACTAGGATTGCAGATGTATTAATAAATAGAAAATATACTTAAAATTGCAATTTAGTGTTTTTACATGGTTTGCCCTTTCCTATAAAAGCAAGGAATAATTTGAGTCTTTGTGGACAGCAAATCAGTAATTTGATCTAATGACCATTTTGAAAAGTAAAAGGTAAACTACTGTAACAAGGGTCAAGAAAATAGTCTGTATGATAAATATTTTTGATAGTTTAAAAATGGCAACTTAAAAAGTTTGAAATTTTCTTATCTTCTTTTTCTCAAAATAAGTCCCCAGCACCAACTTGCCTTGACTAGAAAAAGCCGCCATTCCACAATTCTGCTACTTAATTTGTCCCAGAAAAGCAAACATCCTACAAATGAAAATAGATCTGTATAATGCCTCATCACCAAAACTCTAGCTATAGATTAACAGTTTTCACATAACAAATGGGGGATTCATTTTCCCTACTTTTATTAAAACTTCTTTAGTCAAGATCAACTTCATTGTCTTTAGCAAACAATTCTCATTCAGAGGCCATCTTATACCTTTTCCTGCCTTCAATAAAAATTCTACTTTACCTTCAAACCATTTTCTTGTTTATATACTTCTCACAACCCCATTCACAAACACATTAAACAAGCTCTCCCCTTTCTGCTCTCAAATTTCCAAACCAGCAAGTCTCCATTCCCAGTAACTAACCTAAAATACACATACTTTATACTCTCTTCAATTCACAAATTTCTTAACAAATGTTAATTTGATGCCCTTGAAACTGCCAACTATGGGGAAAATAGCAGTCAGAAAAAACTGTCTAATTACTTAATAATTCAGAAATCTTTCTGGATCATCAGTTAGCTATGTTCTAAGATAGGAGTCAGCAATTTCTTTACTTTTTTCAAAGGGGCTAAGCCTGAGTACTACTGGCAGGCCTGTCACAAGAAGAATCAAAAAAGGAGAAAAACAAGGAAAAAGGAGGATAGGAGAGAGAAGATGCCAGATATATATGTTAAGGAGATAGGTCAAGTGCCACCAATAGCTACCTGCACTAGAAATTGCCAATCCACTTCAGATGACTAAGCGTTTGACCCCATCTTAGCATGAGTCTGCTAAGTCCTTAGCTGATGGCCATTACTGTTTGAGCTAGTCAAGGTGAATAGGTAAATAATCTGTCCCCTAACTTCAACAGCCACTTCACAATAAGAATATATTTTCTTAACCCCTCCTAGGATCCTTTTGTGTTAATCCATCTTCAACCAAAACATTCTAACAAGATTATTTCCCATTTTTTCACAATTCTAGAATATAAGGACTTAGTCCTTGAACTTGGAAGCCTCTTGAATTATTGAGACTCTGAATTAAACTCTTTAGCTTAAATTTTTTTCCCATGAAATGTTACAAAAATTTAAATAAGCAAATTACTAATAATCATCAAAATAAAGTATGTATTCATTAAAATGTAAAAATCTTGCAATTCCAAAATGAGTAAAATATTCCTGATCTGTTATGAACCAACTTCATTTTACATAGAGGATCACCACCATATTTCTACCTATCAACAAGACAATTTTCCACAAAAGCAAAGGACATTAGGAAAATAAAGAAAAAACAAGTACCAAACATAATATGGGGATAAAATAAAAATGAATGAATGCTATGAAATTCTTGATAAGAAATGTTACTAACGAGTGACCTTTGCCATACTCAACTTTCCTACAGACATAAATTACCTAGATCATTCAACATCAAAACTTGGTAGTTGTTTTAGTAGATGAAAGATGATGAACTGTTGGCTTGGAACCAATATTTTTCTTCTTTCATCTGGTGGTTCTCACATCATGAAATTCTATCTGATTTATGCTAATGCTAATATAGATTATCTTCACTTAACCCATAATAATGAAATTTCTGTCCAAAAAGAGCCTGTCAATGCTCTATGCCTTAAACTCAGGTCTTACCTTAGATTCAAATAACTTTCAAAATATTAAAAACAGCTTTTCTTAAAAATATTGCAAATTCTACAAAGGTAACTCAATGGTAATGCTTCTGGGTGAAAACAGTAATTTTAGTAGCAGCGATCATCTTAGTTTTATAGCATGCTTCAATTATGAATGGCCTAAATTTGGTTAATAGCAATGAAGAAAACAAAAATATTATACAATGTGATTTAAAAGTTAACACACTTTAATGGACAATTCTGCAGGAATAACTTAGGTGAATTTTATTTGCTTTAGCAATTTCAATAAATTCTCTGTCCTATTTAATCCACTTTCATGGAGTGTGTATATCTGTGCGTACCTCCAAATTACTAAGATACTAAAATTTTGGGATAACAACTCTTGTTATACTCAGTGTTATCAAGAACTGTTCCAAACCTAAGTTGCTAAAGATGCCCTTTTTTTTTTTTTAACACTCTTTTACACTGAAAGCAAGATCTCAATCTGATGTTCAAAAGACTTGGAAAAGGGAAAAAGATTTGATATTTCACTTTTTATGGGCCAGAAAATCTTAAAGAAGTATGCCCATATGTAAAATAAAATGCATTGTGGAGCTACAAAAGCTACTGTAGCAAGTTTCAAACAGAGCCATTCTAAAATCAACTAGAAATGTGTGTGTGCACACATGTGTGTAACATGAAAAATGGAATGGGAATATTGAGTAAAAGAGGGCGAAACATGCATAGAAGATAAAGAATAATCATGCCCATGGTGGGTCATCAGGGCTGGTTGATAACCCAAAATGTCATTAAAAAACCTTAGTTTAGAAAGTGTAAACAATCTCAAAATGTTATAACACAGAAACAAAAAATGAATAACATGATCCCCCCAAACATCAAGTTCTTTAAGAAAACAGGAAGAAAAAAGTTGACATACCATCTTTTTAAATATATCAAATCTTAACTGACTTGAAACTGATATAAAGTACATGGGCCATGATACCCACCCAGATTATTATCAGTAAGATTTATTTTTTCCCCTCCCTTCCACCCAAATTTAGTTCAGTTTTCCTGAAGAAAAAGTACAGCATCCCTATATTTATAAGAGTAAGAAATGAAAACAGTGAGTACAACTGATATAGATCCATTGACTTTTATTACAAATGTACTTGATCACTTGGCTTCAAAAAGTTTAAAATCAATACCCTATTTTCTGTATGCCAGTACAAAGCAAACTGTTTTACAAATTAAATACCTAAAAATTTGACAAAAATATTAAAATTTGATGAAAAACAATTATAAAAATCCTTAATCTTTCTCTTCAAAAAAGGAGGCAGTCTTCTCAGTCCTATTATACAATATTAATAATATTCACCATTTTTAGAATAGGTAGCTAAATTATATTTTTCTGTTAGCATAAAAAACTCTTTGACTAATAGATTTTATTTGTATATGCTCCAGTTAAGTTTGTGAATGCCATCTGATTGCAATATAATCAACTATCTTTAATTGAATCCTAATTTACACTTATTTAATAATTTGCATAGTTTGAAAGGGATAAAGGTTATTCTACAACTAATTATCATAGGCTATTACAGTGCTATTTTTCAAGGCAGTAAGTATTTGCTCCCAAATGAAATTATTTGTCTTCTTTAGGCAGGGGTTAAAATTACTAGCAGCTTTCTCCATTACCTGAAAAACCAATTGGAAGAGTTATCTGTCTCTAGACTGAAGGCCTAAAATAACATATTGATACTTTCCCCTTTGAGTTAAATTTCAACCCCTGCATCGGACAACTAAAAATTGAGACTTTCAAGGTTTTTTTATTTCCCTGTTGGTTTTGGTTTCTACTCTCCATGGCTTTTTAGAAGCTGGAAAACAGTTTGTCTTTCCTGACTAGCATTGTCTTTTTTTTTTTTTCCATTTGGCAAATATTCATCTACCTCCAATCTATATCTAATAGAGGAAAAGCCGACATGGCTTTTCTTATGAACTTCCTTTGTTGTCAAAGGCATGTATAATGATTTCTACAGTTCTGGTTAGTTAACTTTAGCTCCCTCTGTGGCTGGATGACTGCTGCTTCTAACATCAGCATGATAAATAGGAGGCACAAAAAAAAAGTAGCTTAAAAAAAAAGATTTGGTGATTTAAAAGAAAAAACCAACTACACACACACACATATACACACACACACACACACGCGAGCATTTCAAATCTGGTGGCTGATCTCTGGATTAAATTACTTGACAGTGTCTCTCATTTTAAAGAACATCAATATTGCAATGCATTTCAAGTTTTCTTTTATACTTAGGCAAATAATACAGTTTAACCAAGCTCTTGGACCTTAATTGTAAGACAAAGCAGATCAATAAAAATAAGGCATACTTATTAGGAATTAAGTTTTGTTTGCTTGTTTTTGGCACATTTGATCATACTGTCTTCTATGAATAACACATATGGTCAAATACACCATTTCCTTTTTTGTCAACACAAATAAGGGTTTACCAACTAGTAAAAATAAAAACAAGGAAAAAATCCAACGTAAAACACTGTAGTATAGAACCTTGGTAAAGTACCGAGCACCTGGGGCGGGGGGCAGGGGGGCCGGGAAGGAAAAGAATGAACAAGAGAGGGGAGAAGGGAAGGTTTGGGAGGGTGCTTGGGGAGGTAAGTGAGATGCTTAAAAAAGAGCATCTTTACAGACACTTAGTCTTTTCTATGATCACTTTTAAGTCTTAAAAGATCTGCATGTGGATTTCTTTTTAAACCCACTGACCGTAAATCAGACACTGGTTTCAAAATCTTAGTAAGATTGTGTTCAACTGTTATAGTGTAAAGACAATTGCACAATACATGTGCTTCTTGATCCGGTAGGATTCCAAGCAGAATCTGAAGTCTATAGGTAAGAAAGGCTTCACTTTAGGTAACTCTGACCCTAAAGAAAACCTCATGAAAGAACTCGCATCTCAAAGAAAGGACACTTTGCCTAAGTTTGCTGTGTTTTTGATGACTTGCACTACTTATTGCTGGCCACTATGAAACACTGATCTAGGAGTACTCCAACAACCTGTAGTACAAGGCTTAACTTTAAAGAAGCTATAGTAAACAAGAGACAAAATCAAAGCAATTCTCTTTCCTAATAACAGCACAGAGAATGCAGTCTTTTCCATATCACAGTTAAAGTACAGTGAACAAAACAGCTCAACAAACCTTAAGACAAAAAAGTGCAGGTTATTAATGTTTACATGCAGTTGATAAGCATTCCAAATGTCACATTATGCACTGTAAAAGCTCAACTTTACTATATGGAAATAAGAAAAATGCACCTTAGGGGACGGGGAAAAGCAATTTAATCATTTCCAGTGATTTTGTAAGTAAAGAAACTCCTAACTACTGTACGGTCACCTCATATTTAACATTGTATGAATATTAAAAGCAAACAATTTAATGGGAAAATGCACAGTACAATGAAAATAGCTTGTTATTCAACACATACAGTAGATCTCAAAAACAAAGACAACACACTCAACCAGGGAGCTTAAAAATATCAAATCAAAACCCAAGAACCAGCAGAAAAAAAAAATCCTTCAAAAAGACAACTGTTTTGCCTTCCTAGGCCAATGCTTTACAATGTGAGAAGCACTGATACCTTCCCGCTCCTACAGGTGGTGTCTTCTACATACAGCAGTTAGATCTATATGGCTGGATTTGCCAAGAAACAATTCCATCCCCAGAACTCTTGTCAGACAAGATTTTTTTTTTTTTTTTTTACCAAAATACTTTCTACAGAATTCCAAACCAAAATGTACTGTTTAAGGCATCTTTTTTATAACATTTTTCTCTTCACTCAAAGATGATAGTCATGCAGCAGTTTAATGATAAAAATATATTAATATTTTACTATACAGCAGCAAGAAGTTAGTTGTCAATTAAAAGCACACAAACATCTTTAAATGAAAACCTGTAAAAGACTATCGTTACAAACAATTTCAGTTTGGAGGACACCAGCTTGATAAAGTGCTCTCCTAAGCTTTGCATTTTCAAATCCTACACCTCGAATATATGAGTTATAGAACATACTTTTGATAGAAGGCTTGTACACTTGGGGAACACAAATACATTTAGCATATAATGTAGCCAGTAATAACTAGCACCACAGCTACATGGAAATCCTTTACATACACCAACTTGGCTTTCACTTTTAAACTCAAAATCCATGGCTCAGTAGGATAACTATAATTGTGTTGCTCTGCTTTTTAACAGGTCTACATAGTTAATAGCACTGGCAAAAATCAAAGGATAGCTTCAGACCTCTTACAAGTTTAGGAGACAGTGCTAGTGACCACAAATAGACTCACTACCTGATGTCCAAGTACAGGTTCACTGGAAATTGCTGTACGTTAGTTTTTTAAAATCTTTCTACACATAATAAAAAAAATATATTATGAACGATACAAGTACATCTCATATACACAATAATG